CGTTTGAACCACCAGGGCAACGAAAAACACAGCGGCCTAGCGTGAGGGGAAGGCCCGGCTTAGCGTGCGCTGAGGCCGGGATAGAGTGAGCTGAGGCCGGGCTAGCGTGAGCGGAAGCCCCGGCTTAGCGTGAGCTGATCCGATAAATGAGCGGCGACCACATGTGACGGACCCCGGGCTGGATTCCGCTTCGTCCACGGTGAAAGTTGATGTATTCCCTCAGCGACCAGCACAGATCAGCTCTAGGCATGACGAAGCGGATATCGTCCTCTTTTGGAAGACCAAACAAAGTAGTTTCGCTACTTGTTTTTCACAACGAAGCACACAGCATCTTCACGACATGGCTGCAGCGTCAAGAATTAATTAATTATATGAATGTACCTCTGAAGGTTCTGACTGTCTTCAGAAATGATTCGATGGCATTTTGTTTTCATCTTCGCTCCATGTAATACCTAAAGGAAGTGTTCTTAAAGGAAGTGTTGTTCCACTCGTTGACAGCAGGTGGCGCTTATGGAAAAGCTGAATTAGAGCTGTTTCCCGTAACTCCCGTGGACAAAGCAGTATTGCGATTAAAGGGTTAGTTCACCCAAAAATGAAAATTCTGTCATTAATTACTCTACCCTCGTGTTGTTCGAAACCCGTAAGACCTTCGTTCATCTTCGGAACACAATTTAAGATATTTTTGACGAAATCTGAGAGCTTTCAGACCCTCCCATAGACAACAAGGGCCCATACACGATCAAGACACAGGAAAGTACCAAGATGATCAACAAATTAGTCCATGTGACATCAGTGCATAAAGAAAACAAAAATAACGACTTTATTCCACATTTTCGTCTCTACTGCATCACTTGTGAACACATACGTATGGCGCAACTGGGCCCGAGTGTAAACAAGGCAACGTCAACGTGCAACGTCATCACGCCGGATCTGGGTCAGCGCCGGTGCCGCCACACGCTCGCGTCATGGTACAGCCGTGAACACGCGTCCACAAGTGACGCAGTAGAGATGAAAATGTGGAATAAAGTCGTTATTTTTGTTTTTTTTTAAATTGCAAAAAAAAAAATAAAAAAAAATAAATGTTAATTCTAGTAATAAGGCAACTTTTGTACTATTTTCACAACTGTAACCAGCCAAACCATGCAGTGCACCTGCAGTGATGTGTTCATTCAGGCGGATGGGGCTCTCAGAGGTGAGGGTGTTGGTGGTGGGACGGGCCTCAGTGGGAAGGTTTGGTGGAGTGGCACAAGATGAATCCGGAATAGCTGCTTGTACGACAACTTGGGGCTTGAAAGCTCCAGCTGCAATGTAGGTATGTGTGACGGTGAGTTCCCTGGAGATGACAGTGCCACTGCCATCCCCGAAGTTCCAGTTAAAAATCACGTCTGATTTGCTCAGGTATTGGCTGAGGTCGTGAAGGGTGATGCTGAAGGCCACTGCTCTGTTCTGGATGAATTTCCGATCACCTTCATCTTTGTCATTCACCTGCGTTAGGGAAACCGCAAAGGGAATCTGGTCTAGAAACACAGGGATTAAATATATTGCATTACTTAAACCGTAAAACCATAACTAGTTATTAAATGATTAACACTGAGTTATGCTTACCGGTGATACTGAACTGTGTGGATGCATATCCAATAGGGATGAATTTCTCTTTTTGCCTGTAGTGATAAATGACAACATCCATCATGTAAGAGCCAAGAGGAACGTCATCAGTTCTGATGGTTAATGATGAGGAAGGGCCGTCGCACGCTTGCCAGTATTTACCTGTCAAACACAATAGAGGATTGTCAGGAACGTTAGATAACTGCATATAACAGTACAGTAAGTGCTTCTTTCCTTACCCCAGGTTTTCCACACAAACACATATGGAGGTTGCTTGTCCCCTTGTCTAGACAGGAGAGGAGCATTAGGGAACACAGCGTTCCATTCATCTACAGAGTTCTCCTCAGGATAGACAGGCTCACCCTCGTGGAACTGTGTGCCTAAATTAGAAAAGTTGCCATATTTGTGCATTATGTTTAAGCTTAATATACAGTGGGTACGGAAAGTATTCAGACCCCCTTAAACATTAATGAGGAAAAAAAATTAACTTAAATGATTTTAGCAAATGGCTGCAATATAACAAAGAGTGAAAAATTGAAGGGGGTCTGAATACTTTCCGTACCCACTGTAACTACATTTGCTGGCCATAGTGCTGGCAGCAGAATGTAAATAGATTTCATCTTTGTAAAATAGAGTGAGATGAAGATGACAGAAACATACCATTTATTGTGCAGTTTTTGGCCCAAACAACCTGTCCATCTGGCAGGACCTTCTGGTTGTGAGGGAACACAATGTCAATGGTGAAGTTGATTTTGGCACCAGTCAAAGTGGGTGCATCATTTCCCACATCAAACTTCAGTTGACCACCTGTAGAAATTTACATTTATGCTTTTTTTAATGTACTGATGCTTTTATCCATACTCTACACACACAAATAAAGGGTAGTGATGCCATAGAAGAACCATTCTGGGTTCCTCGAAGAACCTTTCAGTGAACGGTTTTTAAAAGAACCTGTGTGAAGTGTGGAGAACATTTCAATATTCTGAAGAACCTTTTGTACAATGGAAAGGTTTCATGGATGCTAAAGATTCTTCATGGAACCATATGCAAATAAAGAACATTTAGTTTTAAGAGTGTAGAATAATAGTTTCGGGTTCCCCAGAGAACCTTTCAGTGATCTTAAAAGAACCATTTTTCTTAGTGTGAAGAACATTTTAATAATCTAAAGAATCTTTTCTGACTAAGGATTTTTGTTTTGTCCAAGGATGTTAAAGGTTCTTCATGGAACCAAAGAAGCCAATAGAACAACATTATTTTAAGAGTGTATGTCAAATTATTCATCAAAAATAATTAATATGAATTAATTCAATTAATAAAAAAACTCATCAAAGTGTATTCAAGATAAACATTTTTATCGGGTCATGCACTCCCTTTAAATCAAACCCACGACTTTGAGCTACAGAAATGCTACTGAAAAAAGTGAGCTAAGACTACAGTTGAAAATATTACTTTTTTGTTTTTTTTACATGTTGATGCAAACATACAGTGTAGAAAATCTGGCTCTTTCATGACGGCATTTTATTACCTGTCCAGCTGTTTTTGTAGCGTGGGTCTCCATCTTTCCACACTGGAAACCGTTTTGTATTCCATGTCTGATATTGATTGAATCTGGATTTCGAGTTGCTTCTGTCGACTTGTCCTTATGCAGAGGAAAATAAAGGGAAATTGAAATTAAATTATTTAGAGAAAACTGTAAATTTGAGAGTAAAGGCACTGGAATTTCCCACAAACTTTACAAGTCACAAACTTTGAAGTCTACAATTGGTGAAGGGCTTGAGAGGCGGGGCATGTGACTGGATCAAACATTCAGCACTCTCTCTGCAGTGTTACCCCAAATCCTGTGCATGTGATGGTCAGCTGTCCATGTGACCATACTTTTGCTTTACTGCATAAAGCAGGGGTTTGCTTTTGGAGCACATAGGTTTAACATAACTCAAAATCAGAATGCAATGCTACAATTACGAATGATTGAAACTGTCAAAACCATTGCATTATGGGTATTAAACCCATTACAGTAATGCTCTTGGTCTATGTTGTATTTGTTTCAAGTTATATAAAGTATTATTTCTTATTTGATCTGATTATCTAACGCATGTTACGACTGATCTTGGAAATTCCCAGACATTCTCGTGCAGGTGCCACATTGTTACTGAACTTTGAATGACTATAAGGAGGTCAAGGAGATCAGGACATTGTCATGCATCATTAAATCTGCCTGAGGGTTTAGGAATTTTAGTAGTGCAGGTTTTAGCTGAAATAATGAACTGTTATCGTTAACGGTTTTGTTTTGACTTTCCTGACATCCAGTGTTCTTTTGAATGCAGTTAAAAGAACTCTGCACTAAGCATAATATATGTTTAGTGAAATACAATATACAAGAATATGATGCTGTGGCTATTGGATACAGTTATTATTAGGCTACATAACACAATAAATATATAATATTGAAAAATTTACTTACTTGTTAAAGCCACAGACAAACAGGTCAGTATCAGTATTCTTGAAAGTAGCTTCATTGTGTCACTGTTGTTGGCACCTTAACGACTTTCAGCTTCAGAAGCATCGCTCTTTATATAGACGCGTCCTACATCTGGGGCTGAAAGCTCCTCCCATCACTTAAGACCATGCATGCGTGCACACAAACTCACACACATAAATGTGTTATATTCTGGTGATGCTGCGCAAGAGAGATTAAGATTCGATTAATTATTAATTATACTATTTGATTAAACTAATTTAATTGGCCGGATCAGATCATGTGCAGTTTGTAGAGCCTGATTTTTACTTAAAATATCCAAAGAACCATAGACATTTTGAAAAAATAAAAAATGGAAAAAAAAAAATGTATATAATATTTCTGAACCTTAGTGCTGCAAATAACCACTGAAGAACTTTTTTATTGATGTTTAATAGTGTAAAATGGTTGATTTGCCATCTTGAGGCTTGTTTTTTTTTTACTTTGTGGGTCACATTGAGATTACAAACTCTTTTCCAGGCTGAGTTTATTTTAGTGAGGAACGTAGTTAGAGAGAATGCTTACATCAGTGGACCTGTGTGTGGCTGGACATTTGACGCTTTTGAAAGCTTTGCTTCTGAATTGGGTCAGTGGCCATAAGCATCTTATGTTTTTTTTTGCTACATCTTAATATTTTTAATAGCCTAACAAATGCATTTTGAGATTTGGTCCTAAAAATAAACATGCATGTTAATTTTGAGATGTGAGTGAAAAACAATGTTATATGCAAATGGAGGGAAATTGTGTTGGATTTACTGTAGACGGCTGGTACAGTATCAGAGTCATGCGAGACCAAGGATGGCTGAAGAACAATAGAGTCTGTTCAGGTCCGAGTGCTCATTCACTAAATACTGCAAGAATTATCTACATTTTGTGAATACTAATGCAGAGGGGTTAACGGGTTCGTTTTTGCACTGTAGTTCAGTGAATTACTTTGATATATGAGTAATATATGTTTTTTTGCATTTGACTAAGGATGGGGGAAATGCTCTTAATTATCAAAAGTAATTGCACAATGCAAAACATTTTAATCGCACATTAATTTTGCTTCATTACTTTTATGCAAAATATAATGTACTATTTTTTCTTTTGATTTTGGGGTGAAATCTGAATTATGGCTTACTCTAATTCAGGCAACGTTCCATATTAAGGCGTCAATAAAACAGTAAGTTACACATTACGGCTAGACAAAAATGTCTGGAATGGAAAGTTCATTAGGATTACGGCAGCTCTTGCGACTTTTTGGTTTACCCAGATTTTTGGCTTTTCGGCATCCTTACAAAAAAAATAATCCGATTTTCAGAATTGTTCTAAGTAGCCACATTTAACATTCCTTGTTTATTCTTGTTATCTCTTTATTCCAGCACTGAATTCAAAGGCAAACCATGAAGGTGTTGACACCAGGTGGAAGCAAAACTGGTCAACTTGTCGTATAAAAATCTGAAAAGTGAATTTACTGCAAGAAGCATGAGTAGAACGTCTGTCACACTATTACAATTTACACTACAATCGGTAAGAAAAACACCCACAAGTATGTTTCTCATAAAACATTATTGTACATCAACCACATTTATAAAAAGGAACCAAGTTCACGAAAATGCAAACCTTAACTTCTGACAAGAAACACCCCGACAATTCAATTCAAAACCTGAGAGTTCATGTGGTAGGCCTACCACTAAAACACAGAAAACAGTATATACATTTGATAAAACGCTATATTCTTGAGACGGAGGTACATCGAAAAAACAGTGGTGACATGAATTGCATTAGACCCACAGAACGCCTTCTCTTCAGTCTTACTGAACCAAACTAGAAACCAGTAAACACAAAGCTAAAACATGATGGTAAACCTTAAAATTCTACTTAGGAACGATAAAACAGGGACAGAAAACGAGGAGTGCATCATATAGGGAATATATGCCAAAACAGATCTATTATAGCTTATAGTGTACTTCATATAATTTCACAATGTTCCTGAAATGCTCCTCAACATCAACAGGCACAATCAGGAAAACGATTAAACTACGGCGGAATCCCTGCTAACATCTTGTTAAAAGAATGAGACATTAAAGTAAAATGTACACTCTAAAAAATGCTCAGCACTGGGTTGTATTTAACCCAGCATTTTTTAGAGTGTACTCTTTGACAGTAGAAACTCCATTTCATGCTTCCACTTTTTTGTCTGTAAATAGATCAATGAAAGTCATGCCATTAATTCAGGACAGTTAGAGAAGTAATCTGCATTAACTGCATACAAAAACATGATCAAGCAAGATATGAATATGGAGACAATCTTGTTAAAGGTACAAACCGATTGGCTCAAAACATTTAAGTTCCCACCAATTTTAATTTCATGAGTCAGGACCAGAACCTGATGGCTTATCATTGTCATTCCCAAACACGAAAAAATGACCTTGATACAATCACAGGGTTAAACATAAGTGGAGGTATTACAACAAATAAACTGGAGCGGTCAGCATTTCCGCCTTTCGCTCTGCAAATGTCGATTTGAGTGTTCAAATACAGACAGATAACAAATACCTAACAGACCTTAGAAGACACTGCATTTGTAAAGAGACAGTCATCCAAAAATGAAGGTTGTCAAGGTTGCAATGTTTTCTTTTTTTTCCAAAGAAAGATAAAAAAGTTAGTTCCACTGAAAACTGGTGGAAAGATGATTCATTGGATTGTATTTTTACCCATCACGGATTCATTTTCACTCAAGTTTAAAGGCCATTTATAAGTCAGTTACATCCTACAATGACAAATAGCCTTTATCTGACAGCATCTGGGTTTGTGAAATAAAAAACTGAAATACAAGAATGAAATGAGTACAAGCTGAACATACTGTTGTGTATAGTGTATCATATATGAGCGTGATATTCTACAACCATTTAAAACAATGACTGCATCTGACTCGGAATCTAGAACCATAGGTCTACTACACACACTTTCCCGAAATTAGGCATATTTTGTTTTGGAAAAAATGTAAAAATAGTCCATTTACAGAATTAATACAAAGCTGAAGGTTACAAAAATGACACCACAAATATTTACCAAACAAAATCAAAACATTACTTCAGTGACTGTTCATATATTAGAAACATACATTTTGATGCAAATATTGGGGATTCGTATGTCCATTCTCAAAACATACATGACGTGTCAAGTAAATACAGACTGGGAAGCAGGTTACAACAGTATAAAAATAAATCCAGATATCGTCTGACGCATTCAAGCAACGACTGCTAATAACTATGTTTTTTTTAAAAGGCTAATAATAAATATCATACTCGATAAAAAAAAGACATATATTGTTAGCAAGACTTAAATTCATAGATAAAACAAAAACATTTTCCATTTTTTTGCATTCAGTTACACTTTTTAAAGAGGACAATGGGCCCCTTTCATTCAGTAATACATACATACACTTAATTCCATTATGCTTTTCTGTTAGCGCTGATATAAAATTGAGCAACATCAAAAATAGTATGTACAATTTGTTTTCAATAAATAACATTTTTGCTTTTTTTTTTGCAATATTTTGTTCTATTATAACATTATTGCCACAGATGGGTGTTGTGAACACACTCGCTCGCACAAAACGCAAGACAACATGAGGGCAAAGATTCACCAGGTGCATTTTTTGCCTTACATTACTCTGCTGTCAAACTCAATATCACAAAGTTAGATGCACAAAAGGAACCCAGGATTCCCAAGATGGCTGATTTGATCAGGCGGAAAGGGGTTTATTTGGGCAGTGGCGGCAGAGGTGGAGGTGGTTCTGAGGGTAAAGGTGGCGCCTGGGTTCCTCCGCGAGAGCTACTGCTATACCGATAGTCTCCGTACTGAGAGCGATAGTCAAACATCTGAGGTTGCGCCGGCTGAACGCCCTGCGCACTGAGCAGCGAGTTCAACATGTCAAAAGTGTCCTGGTATTCGTTGGACTGGCTGCCTGTATTGTGTCCGTTCGTGTCAGCTTTGTCCGACTTGGAGTGCGAATAGTTTCCCTGATGGTGCGAGAGGCTCAGCGAGGGAAGGATGTCGGACCCCTGACCCATCGCGTGGGAGGGCACTCCGGTAAGCGTCGGCAACTGAAACGAGTTTCTGGACGATTTGCTAACTTTCGAGAGATGGCTGCCGGAAGGAGGATCTGGCAAGTGGGTCCTTTTTCGGGATGAGGATGACGAAGAACTCGTTCGCACAGAATCAACTGAGACCTTTTTGCTACTTCCCGACGCGCTGGCAGAACTCGAGTGTTTTTGTGCTGAGGATGAGGAAGACGATGTTGATAAAGAGCCGGTGGCGGAAGAGGAGGAGTGGTGGTGATGGTGATGATGGTGATGGTTGGACCGCTCTCGGTGTTTCTCGCGATTTTTCCCATCTTCTCCGGAGCCACTTCTCCTTCCCGGAACTCGGATCCGCACTTTAATGTCCTGCTCGGATCCTCGACTGCTGCTACTGCTGCTGTGCCCCCCGCTGCCTGATTGGCCTGGCACTGGGAAGCGCATTTTTATGGAACTGCGTTCCGATCGCTCGTCCAGCGGGATCTTCAGGATGATAGGTGAGGGTTTTTTTAGGTCTGAGGAACTAGAGCTGGACTGCTGGTGGTGATGGTGCTTCTCCTTTCTCTGCTGGTTCATGAGGGCCTGGGCGGCAGTGGCGTATCCCTGTTTCACGCTTGCCTCCATGTTCTCCAACTTCCGCTTCTGCGCCGCCAGCTCGTCTGCGTGTTTCACTCGATACTCGCTCAGAGACAACTTAGCAGGCGCGTGAAGCTCGTTGATAGTGGGTTGCTCCTTGGCAGGAGGCTGCCAGTGTTGGGATGAGGGAGCAGCGCTGTGGTCGTCGGCTGAGGAGTCCATGGGGGAACCGGAGGGTGGGGCGGAGAGGCTCATCAACCCAGCCAACGTGCTGTCAGCCGATGCCATGGAGATCATATTCATAATGGCTTCTGACTGATCACCATCTTGCACTTTTGATTTCTTGGCAGTTTGACCTGCAGCCTGAGGCACAACAAA